GTCATTATAAATCTGGGGGGGGGGACAGGTCATTATAAATCGGGGGGACGGGGGACGGGGGGGACAGGTCATTATAAATCTGGGGGGGGGGACAGGTCATTATAAATCTGGGGGGGACGGGGGGGACAGGTCATTATAAATCTGGGGGGGGGGACAGGTCATTATAAATCTGGGGGGGGGGAGGGCAGGTCATTATAAATCTGGGGAAACAGGTCATTATACATCTTGGGGGGAGGGCAGGTCATTATAAATCTGGGGAAACAGGTCATTATAAATCTGGGGGGGGGACAGGTCATTATAAATCTGGGGAAACAGGTCATTATAAATCTGGGGACGACGACAGGTCATTATAAATCTGGGGGAAACAGGTCATTATAAATCTGGGGGTGAACAGGTCATTATAAATCTGGGGAAACAGGTCATTATAAATCTGGAGGATTGTTATAAATAATCTCGTGTCTCAATAAGGATGTACAAGTTTTGTTATAGTCTTGTTTATTTACAGTACAGCGCACCAATTATCTCCATCATGGTGCACCGAACTTTGCTGTTGTCACGACTTATAACGAAGCCAAACGTTTTATTTCTAGAAAATTCGGGTTAGAACTTTGGACAATTTGTATATTATGTGGCTCGCATTTTCGGCTCAGTGCTAAAAAAATTGGGTTAGTAAAATATTTAAAATCGCAAAGTTGGTTTAAGTGCTAGGTTTCACGCTAAAAAAATTAACGTTAACTTAAACTTGAGCTTAACACCAAAACCTAAAGTTAACTTGAGCCTCACACCAAAACCTAACGTTAACTTAAACCTTAGTTTCACACCAAAACCTAACGTTAACTTAAACCTTAGTTTCACACCAAAACCTAACGTTAACTTAAACCTTAGTTTCACACCATAACCTAACGTTAACTTCAACCTTAGTTTCACACCAAAACCTAACGTTAACTTAAACCTTAGTTTTACACCAAAACCTAACGTTAACTTAAACCTTAGTTTCACACCAAAACCTAATGTTAACTTAAACTTAAGACGCCCAGCAATCTTTCACACAGCTGTGATTTACTAACTCGAGATACTGCTCACCGTGACCTTGGTGCTCTCTGTGACCTTGGTGCGTAAATCTCCGGGTTTCCCCGCATTTGTCTTCTCACACCATCTTCTGGGGTTGTGTTAGTGTCTGTCTAACCAACGAACCCATTTTTGTGTGTTGATCTGCTGGGGTCCGTATTTCAAAAAGTTTTGATGTGAAGAAACTCCTTGTTGGTATGGTGGATGGCACCAGAGCTACCATCAATATTGCGATCTTTAATACCATCTTTAATACTGTCTTTAATACTATCTTTAACCATCGTAATACCATCTTTAATACCATCGTTAATACCACCTTTAATACCACCTTTAATACCATCTTTAAATACCATCTTTAATACCATCTTTAAATACCATCTTTAATACAATCTTTAAATACCATCTTTTATATCATTATAATACCATCTTTATACCATCTTAAATACCATCTGTAACAAACTTCCTTTATCTTAGCGTCTTATAAACAAACTGTGCCTTTATCGAATGGACTATCATTAATGCACTCTCACACAATTACACACGCACCCACGTTCCGACGCATGCACACACACATACACGTATTTGCATATATAGACTTAAACTTGTGTTATGGTTGTATGATGCTGTGTGAAGGTGGCTTGGTCTGTGGGTACGTGTGTGTAGGGAAAATGTGTGTGTGTGTGTGTCGACGAAAGGGATGTGTGTTTGAGGGGTTACTTTCATTTAGTAAACACTCATTAAAATGTTTATTAAATTTAATACTACTTATACAAACAAATAATATAGAATCAACAATACAACCAACTGATACAAAATGAACTTAAAATGAATGATACAAACTCATACTAACAGGATAGAGAAAAAAAAACACAAAATATTTATATGCTAAAATAATAAACAAAATAAGAAGGGAAATTTTTCTCAAGGGCAGATAATCGGATCTTGTCAATTAGTATTAAAACAGGCCACAGGCAAACAGTCTTGAAGTAACTATTGATTGGTTTGTGTTTTTGTCGGTCGAAATGTTTTTCTTTGTGTGGGCAAAATATGATGTGGGGTTATCTATGGTATGACAAGTTTATAATCAAATATAGGGGTCATTTGTATGGGTCATTTTTGTGATAGGTTTTTATTCAACGGTGGGGGTCATTTGTGTGGGTCATTTGTGTGAAAGGTTTATAGACAACTGTAGGGGTCATTTGTGTGATAAGTTTATAGTCAGCTGTAGGGGTCATTTGTGTGATTAGTTTATAGTCAAAACACACGCGCGCTAATTCTATTTTTGTCATTAAACTTGCTTGTCCTACGAAGCTGAAATTTTGACAAGAGCAAACTTGACGTGTATTTCTTGACATAGCATTATGTTACAGCTACAAATGTTGAGTTGCAACTTGTCACCGTGTTTTAAAAAAAAATATTGAGTTGCAACTTGTAAACGCTTTAAATTGTTTTTACTCCAACTCTGAAGATGACGAAAACGTTTTTCTACCCACCCAACTGATAAGTGACATCTGCCCGTGGAGCCCGGGGACTTCACAAAAGTTGAAGTACTTTTGATGCTTTCTTTCACAACATTCACAGTTTGCGTCTAAATGGAAATATTTTTTCCCCAACATTTGAAAGCAAGAGTGTGAGTGTCTGTTACAAGTTAAAATCAAGTGGTCGCTGGGAATCTTTCCCTGGTGGGGGGTGGGGGGGTGGGGGGGGGTGGGGGGGGGGGTGCTGGGTGGATGATTGGTGCCAGGACAGTTTTTTTTATGGCAGTTTGTTTAACCTGGAACTCATCAAATCCAAATTACTGGGCACGTGAGTGGATATTGGCATCACATGAAACACGGCGATTGGCCAATGGAAAGACTCAGACTTTCTCAGCTACAGAACGTGGTGTTGGAGTATAAACAACATAGCCGTTTATAGATATTTCGCAGTTAGACATAATTTTTGTAAATGTTTAAAGATTGGACATTATTTTTGTAAATGTTTGACGGTTGAACATAACTTTTGTGTCGTCGAATGACTTTTGATTTTGCTGATGTAGCTGGATGTGGTACACGCCCTGATTGTTGTTGTTGGTACAAGGTCTGGTGAGTAGGTCAGGTCAGTCAGCCTCGATTTGGGTACAAGCTTTGGGATGTAGGTCATTTGGTTCAGCCAGTCGAGGATCACTCTGGTTTAGTGCAAATAGGTCAGCAGTCAGAATAAGCCTCGTTCTGACCACAAACGTAAAATCCTCACTAGCCAACAATTATTATGTGAACAGAGTTAGTGTGAAATGTGGACATGTTTGGTGCGATCGTCGTGTTCAGACCATGATACAACAACGGGGAAAAAGGAAACCATTATAGCTATATAGGTCAGCAACAATATATGATATGTGTGTAGGTCAGCAACAACATATGATATGTGTGTACACGATTTATTAGCTATAAAGAGTCAGCAACAAGATATAACAGTTATGTAGGTTTGGACTGTTTCGATATGGCGGATTAACCTTAGCCAGTTCAAAATCTCATGGCTTGACTTATCTTCATTGTAGCTTCATTCCGGCGTTGTTTATTTTTAATGTTCAGTTAAAGACAACTCCAGTTTGTTTACGAAGTGATCTCCCCTTACACAAATACCCGTGTAATTCCGAACAGGAGGTAAACTAAAGGCCCGGTATCGACTGCATTACAACATGACACATACGCCCAAAACGGCCGGACATTTTTATCTGGCTAATGTATTGCACCATCTATCTTGTACGTTGGCGTCAAATGTTGGCACTCGGGTGAATTGGTTCCACAGTCGTGAAAACTCCAGCACCCCTCCAGCACCCCCACCCCCTCCCTGTATTGACCGGCGACAATTGATTCTCCCCGTCCATTCTCTGCGGCATTAGTGGCCGGCTTTAGAAAGTTGTGAAGGTGTAGGGACCGGACCGAGACAAACCAAACACTGGACAAAGGAGGGGCGTGCTGTAAAGGGATTTCAAATAGGGGGATGGATATTTAGATCCCGAGCTATTCAAGGTTTTACTGTATATATTTTACAGTTTATTATGGCGAGATTTTACGGCTGATAATCTTTCCGCATAACCGGAAGTACTATCCCGGAAGTGGTTAACTGATACCCGGGGTATGATGGGTACATGACGAGTGTTAGGGGCTGGGTATAGTAGAAAGGGAGAGCAACTCTTAGTTCTTTGTCTCAACTAAATACGTACTTTACATGAGCTACACAGGGTATATCTTAAGATGCCGAGACTTTTCTCAATATTTGTTGAAAATAAATTAATCAGGCAGATAAGTATTGATTTTTACAGTTGGTTTGAGATCGGTGAATAAACATAAAAAACTCATTCGATCAAAGAGAAACGCGAAATGTTTAGCAAAGCTACAATGAAAGAGATATCTTTAACACGGGAGGAATCTGCGTTGTAATCAGTGTTGGATACAACAAGGCTTTGATTAACTGTTTTATATATCTGTCTTGTCTGTCAACTATTATATATATATATATATATATATATATATATATATATATATATATATATATATATATATATATATATATATCTGTCATGTCTGTCAACCACCGATCAGTGTTTCTTCCAGACTTTTTTCTCCGGGGGGGCACTTGAAATTTTCGGGGGGGGGGGGGGGGGGCGGTAGACTTTCTTCGGGGGGGGGGGGGGGGCGGACACTGTTAAAAGTATATATTTTCTGTATAAATTATATAAATTTCATTTCGTTCGGAGGGGGGGGGGGGGGCGGTAAAAAAAATTCGGGGGGGGGGGGCTTTGCCCCCCCGAAGAGATGCCTGGAAGAAACTCTGCCACCGATGCTGTATGTTCTGACCCTCATAGGTTGAATCTTTCCCTCCCATCTCCAGGCATGGCCTTCTCATCCAGTGATATGGTCAGGTTACGTAATGACCTGTTGACCAACTACAGTGTGGGTGTCCTGCCCTTGAGGAACCAGAGCAAGTCTCTACTAGTCAACATGTCCTTCTTCCTCATCATGATACACAATCTGGTAATTAGGTTTACGTCATCCACAATCTGGTAATTAGGTTTACGTCATCCACAACTTGTTAATTAGCTTCACGTCATCTACAACTTGTTAATTAGTTTTACGTCATCCACAACTTGTTAATTAGTTTTACGTCATCCACAACTTGTTAATTAGTTTTACGACATCCACAACTTGTTAATTAGTTTTACGTCATCCACAAATTGTTAATTAGTTTTACGTCATCCACAACTTGTTAATTAGTTTTACGTCATCCACAACTTGTTAATTAGTTTTACGTCATCCACAACTTGTTAATTAGCTTCACGACATCCACAACTTGTTAATTAGTTTTACGTCATCCACAAATTGTTAATTAGTTTTACGTCATCCACAACTTGTTAATTAGTTTTACGTCATCCACAACTTGTTAATTAGTTTCACGTCATCCACAACTTGTTAATTAGTTTTACGTCATCCACAACTTGTTAATTAGTTTCACGTCATCTACAACTTGTTAATTAGTTTTACGTCATCCACAACTTGTTAATTAGTTTTACGTCATCCACAACTTGTTAATTAGTTTTACGTCATCCACAAATTGTTAATTAGTTTTACGTCATCCACAACTTGTTAATTAGTTTTACGTCATCCACAACTTGTTAATTAGTTTTACGTCATCCACAACTTGTTAATTAGCTTCACGTCATCTACAACTTGTTAATTAGTTTTACGTCATCCACAACTTGTTAATTAGTTTTACGTCATCCACAACTTGTTAATTAGTTTTACGACATCCACAACTTGTTAATTAGTTTTACGTCATCCACAAATTGTTAATTAGTTTTACGTCATCCACAACTTGTTAATTAGTTTTACGTCATCCACAACTTGTTAATTAGTTTCACGTCATCTACAACTTGTTAATTAGTTTAACGTCATCCACAACTTGTTAATTAGTTTCACGTCATCTACAACTTGTTAATTAGTTTTACGTCATCCACAACTTGTTAATTAGTTTTACGTCATCCACAACTTGTTAATTAGTTTCACGTCATCTACAACTTTTTAATTAGTTGTACGTCATCCACAACTTGTTAATTAGTTTTACGTCATCCACAACTTGTTAATTAGTTTTACGTCATCCACAACTTGTTAATTAGTTTTACGTCATCCACAACTTGTTAATTAGTTTTACGTCATCCACAGCTTGTCAATTAGTTTCACGTCATCTACAACGAGTTAATTAGTTTTACGTCATCCACAACTTGTTAATTATAAATAAACCATGCGCTAATAGTGTAACAGTGTATAGTAACTTCAAATGAATTTACTCGGATTAAACAGCCGATATGACACATTTAATAACTAAACTATTACACGCAAATAGATGTTAACTATTTAAATCCAAACACTATTGCTTGTCACGTTTCTGAAGCGTAAAATATTGGTTTTAAATTCGCTAATTAACAAAAGGCATTCATCCAGTTTGTATTTCCGTCCCACACTTTGAGCGCGCGGTCTAGAATCTTCTAGTTGTATTCACATCACACGGCCTTTCGAAATTCCCGATTCTATTTATAGCTGTCTGCTAATTGACAGACTAATTCCCCGCCCAACCAGAAAATCTTTTGTCTGTTGTCTGTCTGCTCAGCTCGATTCGCCTCAATGTTTGTCTACGGCAGAAATCAATAGTTATGGGCATGTTATCCAATGGTTAAGTCAATAATGTCTTGAAACATTCAGCAAATGTTGGATGTCCAGCCACTTGTGTATGTTGTATATCTTCCGTTTAATGTTGTATATCTTCAATATAATGTTGTGTATCTTCCATCTAATGTATATCGTATAATATAAAGTCGTATGTTAAGCCGCTTGCTAATGTCCATATAAAGCATAATATGACGTCGATCGAATGTTGCATATCGCCCAGCTAATGTTATATATCATCCGTATAATGTTGCATATCGACCATTCAATGTTGTATATCGCCGAACTAATGTTGTATATCGCCCATTTGATGTTGTATATCGCCCATTTAATGTTGTAGATCGCCCAACTAATGTTGTATATCGCCCAACTAATGTTGTATATCGCCCAACTAATGTTGTATATCGCCCAATTAATGTTGTATATCGCCCAACTAATGTTGTTTAACAAATTTTCAGAACATGAAGAACCAGGTGCTGACAGCAAGTGGATGGTTAAAGTTTGTAAGTGCTCACATGTGGTGTACATAGTCCCATATGTTGTGTACATGTATCTAAGTATTTCGTTATGATATGAAAATGGATGTACGTAGCTCATCGTGTTGTGTTCGTGTATGTCAGTATTATCTTGTCTAATGCGTACATCTCATGGACATACTCCTCAAGGTTTTAGTTGACGATCGTTTAACACTTACTCAATAGGTAGACCGCATGTTTTCTTTTGGTTTGGCAATCTATTTTGCTATAACTATGCTACATGACAACGTGTAATAGACTATATAAGATAAGTGTTTTATAAATGTGCTTTTGTACTGAGCTGTATAGGACTTGACTGGCGTCTTATCTGGTACAGTGGTCAGTCTAAAACTGTCTTATCTGGTACAGTGGTACAGTGGTCAGTCTAAAACTGTCTTATCTGGTACAGTGGTACAGTGGTCAGTCTAAAACTGTCTTATCTGGTACAGTGGTACAGTGGTCAGTCTAAAACTGTCTTATCTGGTACATTGGTACAGTGGTCACTCTAAAACTGTCTTATCTGGTACAGTGATCAGTCTAAAACTGTCTTATCTGGTACAGTGGTCAGTCTAAAACTGTCTTATCTGATACAGTGGTCAGTCTAAAACTGTCTTATCTGATACAGCGGTCAGTCTAAAACTGTCTTATCTGGTACATTGGTACAGTGGTCAGTCTAAAACTGTCTTACAGTGGTCAGTCTAAAACTGTCTTACAGTGGTCAGTCTAAAACTGTCTTATCTGGTACAGTGGTCAGTCTAAAACTGTCTTATCTGGTACAGCGGTCAGTCTAAAACTGTCTTATCTGGTACAGTGGTCAGTCTTAAACTGTCTTACAGTGGTCAGTCTAAAACTGTCTTATCTGGTACAGTGGTCAGTCTAAAACTGTCTTATCTGGTACAGTGGTCAGTCTAAAACTGTCTTATCTGGTACAGCGGTCAGTCTAAAACTGTCTTATCTGGTACAGTGGTCAGTCTAAAACTGTCTTATGTGGTACAGTGGTCAGTCTAAAACTGTCTTATCTGGTACAGTGGTCAGTCTAAAACTGTCTTATCTGGTACAGCGGTCAGTCTAAAACTGTCTTACAGTGGTCAGTCTAAAATTGTCTTATCTAGTACAGTGGTCAGTCTAAAACTGTCTTATCTGGTACAGTGGTCAGTCTAAAACTGTCTTATCTGGTACAGTGGTCAGTCTAAAACTGTCTTATCTGGTACAGTGGTCAGTCTAAAACTGTCTTATCTGGTACAGTGGTCAGTCTAAAACTGTCTTATCTGGTACAGTGGTCAGTCTAAAACTGTCTTATCTGGTACAGTGGTCAGTCTAAAACTGTCTTATCTGGTACAGTGGTCAGTCTAAAACTGTCTTATCTGGTACAGTGATCAGTCTAAAACTGTCTTATCTGGTACAGTGGTACAGTGGTCAGTCTAAAACTGTCTTATCTGGTACAGTGGTCAGTCTAAAACTGTCTTATCTGGTACAGTGATCAGTCTAAAACTGTCTTATCTGGTACAGTGGTCAGTCTAAAACTGTCTTATCTGATACAGTGGTCAGTCTAAAACTGTCTTATCTGATACAGTGGTCAGTCTAAAACTGTCTTATCTGGTACATTGGTACAGTGGTCAGTCTAAAACTGTCTTATCTGGTACAGTGGTCAGTCTAAAACTGTCTTATCTGATACAGTGGTCAGTCTAAAACTGTCTTATCTGATACAGTGGTCAGTCTAAAACTGTCTTATCTGGTACAGCGGTCAGTCTAAAACTGTCTTACAGTGGTCAGTCTAAAACTGTCTTACAGTGGTCAGTCTAAAACTGTCTTATCTGGTACAGTGGTCAGTCTAAAACTGTCTTATCTGGTACAGTGGTCAGTCTAAAACTGTCTTATCTGGTACAGTGGTCAGTCTAAAACTGTCTTATCTGGTACAGTGGTCAGTCTAAAACTGTCTTATCTGGTACAGTGGTCAGTCTAAAACTGTCTTATCTGGTACAGTGGTCAGTCTAAAACTGTCTTATCTGGTACAGTGGTCAGTCTAAAACTGTCTTATCTGGTACAGTGGTCAGTCTAAAACTGTCTTATCTGGTACAGTGGTCAGTCTAAAACTGTCTTATCTGGTACAGTGGTCAGTCTAAAACTGTCTTATCTGGTACAGTGGTACAGTGGTCAGTCTAAAACTGTCTTATCTGGTACAGCGGTCAGTCTAAAACTGTCTTACAGTGGTCAGTCTAAAACTGTCTTACAGTGGTCAGTCTAAAACTGTCTTATCTGGTACAGTGGTCAGTCTAAAACTGTCTTATCTGGTACAGTGGTCAGTCTAAAACTGTCTTATCTGGTACAGTGGTCAGTCTAAAACTGTCTTACAGTGGTCAGTCTAAAACTGTCTTACAGTGGTCAGTCTAAAACTGTCTTATCTGGTACAGTGGTCAGTCTAAAACTGTCTTATCTGGTACAGTGGTCAGTCTAAAACTGTCTTATCTGGTACAGTGGTCAGTCTAAAACTGTCTTACAGTGGTCAGTCTAAAACTGTCTTATCTAGTACAGTGGTACAGTGGTCAGTCTAAAACTGTCTTATCTGGTACAGTGGTACAGTGGTCAGTCTAAAACTGTCTTATCTGGTACAGTGGTACAGTGGTCAGTCTAAAACTGTCTTATCTGGTACAGTGGTACAGTGGTCAGTCTAAAACTGTCTTATCTGGTACAGTGGTCAGTCTAAAACTGTCTTATCTGGTACAGTGATCAGTCTAAAACTGTCTTATCTGGTACAGTGGTACAGTGGTCAGTCTAAAACTGTCTTATCTGGTACAGTGGTCAGTCTAAAACTGTCTTATCTGGTACAGTGATCAGTCTAAAACTGTCTTATCTGGTACAGTGGTCAGTCTAAAACTGTCTTATCTGATACAGTGGTCAGTCTAAAACTGTCTTATCTGATACAGTGGTCAGTCTAAAACTGTCTTATCTGGTACATTGGTACAGTGGTCAGTCTAAAACTGTCTTATCTGGTACAGTGGTCAGTCTAAAACTGTCTTATCTGATACAGTGGTCAGTCTAAAACTGTCTTATCTGATACAGTGGTCAGTCTAAAACTGTCTTATCTGGTACAGTGGTCAGTCTAAAACTGTCTTATCTGATACAGTGGTCAGTCTAAAACTGTCTTATCTGGTACAGTGGTCAGTCTAAAACTGTCTTATCTGGTACAGTGGTCAGTCTAAAACTGTCTTATCTGGTACAGCGGTCAGTCTAAAACTGTCTTATCTGGTACAGTGGTCAGTCTAAAACTGTCTTATCTGGTACAGTGGTCAGTCTAAAACTGTCTTATCTGGTACAGTGGTCAGTCTAAAACTGTCTTATCTGGTACAGTGGTTCAGTGGTCAGTCTAAAACTGTCTTATCTGGTACAGTGGTCAGTCTAAAACTGTCTTATCTGGTACAGTGGTCAGTCTAAAACTGTCTTATCTGGTACAGTGGTCAGTCTAAAACTGTCTTATCTGGTACAGTGGTCAGTCTAAAACTGTCTTACAGTGGTCAGTCTAAAACTGTCTTATTTGCTACAGTGGTCAGTCTAAAACTGTCTTATCTGGTACAGTGGTCAGTCTAAAACTGTCTTATCTGGTACAGTGGTCAGTCTAAAACTGTCTTATCTGGTACAGTGGTCAGTCTAAAACTGTCTTATCTGGTACAGTGATCAGTCTTGCTATCGACAAAACTAGGTAGTCAGATCTAGACAATGTACGCCAACAGGTTTTACAGTGTGTTCAGTACAACCTGACCCCCCCACCCCTGTCTGACCCCCAGGAGTGGTGTGATGAGTTCCTCCAGTGGAGCCCCAGCCAATATGGCGGCATTGACGAGCTGATTCTCTTCCAGAAGGACGTCTGGCTGCCGGACATCTTCGTGGAAAACACGTGAGTACATGCACGTGAGAACACGTGAGTACATGCACGTGAGAACACGTGAGTACATGCACGTGAGAACACGTGAGTACATGCACGTGTACATTTGCACACGAGCACACACGTACACACACACATACACACGCACACATATGCACATAACCACACTTACACATGTACAGACACATATACTCGCACATATCAAATACAGACTTCAACACAAACGCAAACACTCCAGCTATTCCACACCCAAATCCCAGGTTTCCCTACACAAACACAAACAGGATATGTAACTAATATTCCGTTTGTTGATTGTTAATTAAACGGGACGGAGAAGGAAAGGTTGGGAGAAGAAATTAATTAAAAGAGAGATTAGAGAGAGGATACTCGTGAGGAAGGGAGGAGTGGGTGGGGTGGGGGGAGGGGAGGGGAGGGTAGGAGGCTGGGCGAGATGAAAAAAAAGAGTTATATATTGAAATAAAAAAAATCAACCACCGACCGAAATGTGAAGTTACAAGGACAGAGTAGGCAATAAAATTAATTGGATGGGCCAATTAGCCAGGGGAATTATAGAGGGAGTAGAAGGGATTATAATGAGGTTCTTTAACGTCGGAATAAAATTGTCTTTGTGAGGTAGGGGTGACTTTATCGACTGCTAGAAATGTGGAGACTTAAAAATGTGGAGTTTTAGAAATGTGGAGACTTAGAAATGTGGAGACTTAGAAATGTGGAGATTCCGAAATGTGGAGACTTAGAAATGTGGAGACTTAGAAGTGTGGAGATTGTTAGAAATGTGGAGATTTAGAAATGTGGAGATTGTTAGAAATATGGAGTAAGTGTAGATTAAGGTGGAAACATTGTCAGCTAGAAATGTGAAAACAGGTAAAACAACAGAAATGTGTATTCTGGTAGAAAAGTAGAGACACATAGAAATGTGGATTCCTGCAAAAATGTGGTGTCATGTAGAAATGTGGTGTCATGTAGAAATGTGGTGTCATGTAGAAGTGTGGTGTCATGTAAAAATGTGGTGTCAGGTCCACATTTGCTACCGACATTCCCATTCTCTAGAAAGGTCCTAGGGTCTGCCACACCGAGTAGGGACCAAGGAGAGTTAACCATCCCCTCAAGCCAAAAAAACAAGGGAGAGTAACCTTTCCCTGGCCCCGCCTTGTTTGACGCAAGGATCTTGTGTTACACGTCTGTCAGGGGGTGCCTACTGGGCAGCTTACCTCACTCATTACACTAGCGCTTACACATTACACTAGAGATTACATATTACATTATTTAGAACCAACTAACCCTACAGCAGTATACTGTGGATGTCGCTATCATGTTTAAGTTGAAATGTTACATTGGCCTTGGTTCCCAATAAATATCTCCATTATATATATATATATATATATATATATATATATATATAAATTCAACTATTTTACTCAGTGATAATGCGAAAATGTCTAATTTTAAATCTCATTAAACAATACATTAATAATAGAGCACAATTGTTAACCCTAATGTCATGAGTTCACCCAGCTCTAAAGGGTACCTGACTCACGTTAAACTGTTCCTTCATATGCAGTGATTCAATAAATAGGTAAACTCTACTTCATCTGCCCTTGTGACAGGTCGTTAAGGTTAACTTTAAATAGATCACATCGGTTTTATATACAACCTTTTTCGAACAATCCTAAAATAGATTTAGTAAGTAAACATTTTCTTTAATAATAATAAAAAGTGGTCGAATAGGCCTTATTTGGAAGATCCACACAATGTAAAGTTTTATTCAGAATCCTTGAAAAAATAATTGACCTCATGGGTTAGAGTTCCTTCAACAAGTTCAACAACTCATGCACATTAAGTTCAAAGCAAGGGAAATAACTCCGGTGATCCCCATTGAAGTTGTGTCCCTTGTGTGTGCAGGGCCCAGCACTACAGAGAGCTGGGGAACAACCAGATGTTGATTAGCATCAAGAGTTCCGGCATGGTGCACTGGGAGCCTGGCATTGTCACGGAGACAAGCTGCGCCGTCAACATCGGCAAGTACCCGTTTGATACACAGGTCTGCGACATCAGGTTTCTCACCTGGATGCATACCAACAAGTAGGTCACTGTGTAGTAGGTCAATGTGTAGTAGGTCAATGTGTAGTAGGTCAATGTGTAGTGGGTCAATGTGTAGTGGGTCAATGTGTAGTAGGTCACTGTGTAGTAGGTCAATGTGTAGTAGGTCAATGTGTAATAGGTCACTGTGTAGTAGGTCAATGTATTGTAGGTCGCTGTATACTTTGTTAAGGTAGACTGTTATTTTCACATCCACAAGTAGGTCGGTGTGTAGTAGGTCACTGTATTGTAGGTCACTATATAGTAGGTCACTGTATTGAAGGTCACTGTATTGTAGGTCACTGTATAGTAGGTCACTGTATAGTAGGTCACTGTATAGTAGGTCAATGTATAATAGGTCACTGTCTACTTTATCAATGAAGCCTGTCAGTGTAGCTACCTTGTCACAAGTTACCCCGTCCATGACGTCACACGATTGAAAGACTCTATGGAAATATCCGTCTATGACGTCACGAAAGACTGTATGAAAATGACCGTTTGACGATTGAAAGATTCCTTTCACCACAAAAGGTCACGTGGATAAAAAAAAATCGATGTCGGACCGGCCTTTGAAAAGTGTAGCGATATACCAGATTTTTTGTGTCTCGAGATATACCAGATTTTTATGTGACGCTAGCATGTTGCCTGTTTGCGCTTGGTCGCCGGGCTGCCAGTAAAAAGGCGAAACAATTTTTTCAGGAAGGCAAAATCTAATGTGTTGGAAGCAATGAAGTAATTGGTAGATTGTTGTCGGTCTGTGTGTGTGTGTACTGGGAGGCAATAAGAGGGGGGGGGGGGCGATGCTTTTAAAGGTTGTTTCATCAATTTTTATTAAAAGTACAAAATAATCGATCCTTGTATGGCGGTTTGTTTATGTTATGTTGAAAAGTGAGGGTTAGAATTCATATTGGGTTTAGGTTTGGGTTTAGGGTTGGGTTTAGGTTTGGGTTTAGGGTTGGGTTTAGGTTTGGGTTTAGGTTTGGGTTTAGGTTTGGGTTTAGGTTTGGGTTTGGGTTTGGGTTTGGGTTTAGGTTTGGGTTTAGGTTTGGGTTTGAGTTTAGGTTTGGGTTTAGGTTTGGGTTTAGGTTTGGGTTTAGGTTTGGTTTTAGGTTTGGGTTTAGGTTTGGGCTTAGGTTTGGGTTTAGGTTTGGGTTTAGGTTTGGGTTTAGGTTTGGGTTTAGGTTTGGGTTTAGTTTGGGTTTAGGTTTGGGTTTAGGTTCTGGTTTAAGAATCAATTCAACATTTTTACATCTGTAATATTATTTTAAGCAAGTTAAAAATTAACTTGATAATAGACCGAGTTTTACAAAATGTAAAGAGGACGTGATTGTGGTAGATGTTTACTTTGAGTGATAGAACCTATTCTCTTAATCTTGTGACCGGCTATTTCTCTGATAAGTCACTGGGAAGATGTGTAGGTTGTATGTTGTGTATGTATGTCAACATATTTGGTGTGGTCATTAAATAGCTGACATTTGTGGAATATATGATTACTTTTTTATCGGCTTTATCAAAGTTCTATGTGATCATTATCAAAGTTCTATATGAGCTTTATCAAAGTTCTATGAAATCTTGATCAAAGTTCTATGTGACCATGTGAGAAAAATCTGTCCAATGGGAGATGGAATGAAGCACGCAAAAGAAAAAAAATGGCCACAAAAAAAAACAACCTACGGGAAAACAAGAAAGGCAAGACGAGTGTTGCGGAGTTTTAATTAAAAGTCTGACCCGGTTAACGCAAAAAAAAAAAAAAAAGAAACCCGAAAAAAACGAAACAAAATTAGAATAATTGTTACTGAGGAAAAAATGGGAGGAAAAAAATATAGATGATTATCAAATCCTTGGTCGGTATCGTAGGCGTTTATCGCAAGTTTATTGTTGTCAGAGGCGAGTTGGGTGTTAGATACAAACACGATAGTCTGGTTTACATCAGCGGGCTAGGGATTGTGTGCTGGCTCCCCGTGTATGGGCGGTGTGAGCCGGGCGGGATCGATACCGGTGTCTTAGTCCGATTCTGGTACGTTAAACTCAATTATCGTAGATGAGGTATTATTCGCCGGCGATTACAGTAGTTATCCTGAGTTACTGGTTCTAATGCCGTAATCCTTTCAATAACTCAGACTTTCTTCCCCATCCCCCCCCCCTCTTTTCACACCGCCACCCCCACACCCCCGTCTTACCACACATTTCCTCTACAAGAAGAGTTTCAACATCTGATCAGATTTGCAAGGCCATATGTAATCTATATGTGTCGGGTTGAGGGACGGGGGGGGGGGGGGGGCAGTCTAAGAATGACGTCAGTCGACAAGAGACAGATGTTCAACCCACTTTTACATCTGTCAAATGTAATCAAATGTAATGTGCTGCACCCACTCTATAAACATCGTTGATGTATACTCAGTGGTGTCCACTGAATGGTGTCCATTTAATGGTGTCCATTTAAAGGTGTCCACTGAATGGTGTCCATTTTAATAATGTCAATTCAATGGTGTTTAGTCAGTGGTGTTAATTGAATGGTGTCACTCAGTGGTGTCCATAGAGTGGTGTCCTTACCGTTGTACCCACTTTATTGAAGAACGCGATACCCTTAAAAGACAGCCTCATGTAGCGGTGTATGCAGTAATAGAAGTTTTATTTCCTAAGTCTTGATTTGTAAACCTCACTGAAAGGTCCAAGTAGTTGCGTACATACGTACCTTATAGGAGGCAGAGTCTCAATTGTTGTATGTGTACATTGTTGTCGCGTCTTTGCTCAGTGTGTACAATGTTATTGGGACCACTGCTCCATGTGTACATTTGTATGGCCCTAACTTGTGTGTCATTTGTCCCACACATACCACCTACCCATAAAGCACACACCCACACTACCCACCATTAAAGCCACACCCCCACCCCCACCATTAAAGCCACACCCCCACCCCCACCATTAAAGCCACACCCCCACCCCCACCATTAAAGCCACACCTCCCTCTCTCCCCCACCAGGACGCTGACCGTCAGTCCAGAGACAGACACCATCAACATGGACGCTCTGCTGCCCAATGGCGAGTGGGACATCACACTGACAGAGGCTAAAGACTACAGGTACCCGTCTACATACAGGTGAGTACATCAGGTACCCGTCTACATACAGGTGAGTACATCAGGTACCAGTCTACATACAGGTGAGTACATCAGGTACCCGTCTACATAGAGGTGAGTACATCAGGTACCCGTCTACAGGTGAGTACATCAGGTACCCGTCTACATACAGGTGAGTACATCAGGTACCCGTCTACAGGTGAGTACATCAGGTACCCGTCTACATACAGGTGAGTACATCAGGTACCCGTCTACATTCAGGTGAGTACATCAGATACCCGTCTACATACAGGTGAGTACATCAGGTACCCGTCTACATACAGGTGAGTACATCAGGTACCCGTCTACATACAGGTGAGTACATCAGGTACCCGTTTACATACAGGGGAGTACATCAGGTACCCGTCTACATACAGGTGAGTACATCAGGTACCCGTCTACATACAGGTGAGTACATCAGGTACCCGTCTACAGGTGAGTACATCAGGTACCCGTCTACATACAGGTGAGTACATCAGGTACCCGTCTACATTCAGGTGAGTACATCAGATACCCGTCTACATACAGGTGAGTACATCAGGTACCCGTCTACATTCAGGTGAGTACATCAGGTACCCGTCTACAGGTGAGTACATCAGGTACCCGTCTACATACAGGTGAGTACATCAGGTACCCGTCTACATTCAGGTGAGTACATCAGGTACCCGTCTACATACAGGTGAGTACATTAGGTACCCGTCTACATACAGGTGAGTACTTCAGGGTACCCGTCTACATACAGGTGAGTACATCAGGTACCCGTCTACAGGTGAGTACATCAGATACCCGTCTACATACAGGTGAGTACATCAGGTACACGTCTACATACAGGTGAGTACATCAGGTACCCGTCATACAGGTGAGTACATCAGGTACCCGTCTACATACAGGTGAGTACATCAGGTACCCGTCTACATACAGGTGAGTACATCAGGTACCCGTCATACAGGTGAGTACAGCAGGTACCCGTCTACAGGTGAGTACAGCAGGTACCCGTCTACATACAGGTGAGTACATCAGGTACGCGTCTACATACAGGTAAGTTGTTAACGTGTAATAGTGTACAACACAAATGCTCTCCACTCTCATAGAAGTAAAATCGTCGATTAAATACCATCGATACGAAACATTCTCCTATTCCACTGTTGTCTTGTACATTTATTGACGACAAACCCATGTTTTTAAAAAAAAATTAGTAGACAAAATCCCTCCCCCCCCCCACCAACCTCCCCCACCGGAAGTCCAGACTATTAAAAAACTAATCTTTTTACTTTTAGTGTCGGGGTAACCTTTCAATTTGTTTTCATTTTTTTCTTTCTTACCTCGCTATGACGTCATGTTAGTTGATCATAAAAAATTCTGTAGTACATAATTTAATTAAAATAATTCCACCATGACGTCACCATGCTGTAAATAATGGCGCTGTTGTGTTGTTATTTAGAGAAACATTTGGTGTTTGAAATGACAAAAACAATAGGTCATCGTCGTATAAAGAAATGCGGTAAGGTAGGTTTAAATGCCGTAGTTTAATCAATAAATTGTATAGGTTAGTTAATTAACTAATTAAGTTAACATTTGTAAACGTGAGCTTAAAGCGATGCAAATCAAATTAAATTTGTCAAAACATTTGTTAGTGGCTAGGTCTCTATGGTTAGGTCTCCATGGTTAGGTCTCTGTGGTTAGGTCTCTATGGTTAGGTCTCTATAGTTAGGTCTCCGTGGTTAGGTCTGTATAGTTAGGTCTCTATGGTTAGGTCTCTATAGTTAGGTCTCCGTGGTTAGGTCTCCGTGGTTAGGTCTCTGTGGTTAGGTCTCTATGGTTAGGTCTCTATAGTTAGGTCTCCGTGGTTAGGTCTCCGTGGTTACATCTCTGTGGTTAGGTCTCTATAAATATTTTAAAGCACTATCGATGGCCTATTGTAAAACTGAGATGAGATCATCTCTCCCTGCCGTCGCCCCTATTCCACCTACCTGTACAGCACCCACACTTTACCCCGCCTAACCTTCACCTTTCTACATGTCTGGCCTCAACCTAATCACCGTCTCTACCATCAGGTGTAAACTTGTCATTTTGTCCACAGGCCATACACACAAATGTAAACTTGTCATTTTGTCCATAGGACAGGCACCTACCACACCGGTGTAAACTTGTCATTTTGTCCACAGGCCAGTCACTCAGGTGTAAACTTGTCATTTTGTCCACAGACCAGGCACCTACCACACCGGTGTAAACTTTGTCGTCCACCTGAGAAGGAAGCGGTTCTTCTACGTGTTGAACACCATTATCCCTGTGGTGATGTTGTCGTGTCTCAACGTGCTTGTGTTCATCCTGCCCTCGGACTGTGGGGAGAGGATGGCCCTCGCCGTCACCGTCCTGTTGGCCTTCACCGTCTATCTCGGCATCATCAGCGACAACATCCCCAAGACGTCGGAGAGTCTGTCTCTCTTAGGTCAGTTGTGCCACAGTTTCTTAGTTGATGTGTTGGTAATTTATGGTACAGTTTCTTGGATTATGTGTTGGTAATTTATGGTACAGTTTCTTAGATTATGTGTTGGTAGTTTATGCTTGAGTTTTAGGCCAGGGGTATGTAGTTTATGGTCGTTTTAGTCTAGTTTTAGGAAATTTAAATTTTTCCTTATACATAAACAACGAAAATTTTTTAGGATAAAAAAAAAAGAAAAAAAAAAGATTCTAATCTAACAAATGCTACTTTTCAAACTTGGAGGTCGATTGGGTAGATGGAGTAGAGTTCTCTTGTTTCCGTGATCTTGGCATACTAAAGGACAGTGTAGTCAGCACTATGTCCAGGCGACTTTACTTTCCTTAACGTGAGTTAGGTACCCACCAGAGCTGAGTCGACTCAGGGATAATCTACAGATTTGAGCACTTCTGTAAATTATTGTTTGAAACATTTGTATCCAGAGTTTCTTCTAGGCATTCTCTTCGGAGTGGCTTCGCCCCCCCCCCCCCCCCGAAAAAATTCTACCGCCCCCCCCCCGTACGAAATGAAATTTATATAATTTATATAGAAAATATATGCTTTTAACAGTGTCCACCCCCCCCCCCCCCGAAGAAAGTCTACCGCCCCCCCGAAAATTTCAAGTGCCCCCCCCCTCCCGAGAAAAAAGTCTGGAAGAAACACTGTTTGTATCCAGTCTTTAGTCTTTAACTACCCGAAGTCCCATTTAGTTTTTTCTCAGTAGGCCTAGTTTATAAAAGTATCACAACTATCAAGTAGAATCGATACTACAGTAAAGAACAAATTTAAATAATATATTTAAATCAAAATTTTTCCTGCTTGACTAACAATGAATTCTAGAATTTTTTCAAACTTCACCACAAAAAATAACCCTAAAACACGGCTTTAAAGAGATAACTCTTGAAGATTGTAATAAATGTGGTTGTCTCCCCTTCCAGCCATCTATCTAACCAGCCTATTGGCGCTCAGCACCGCCTCTGTAGTCTGCGCGGGGATCGTCTTGAATATTCATTACCGCGACCCTTCGCACCCCGTCCCCAAGGTGCTCAAGTGGATGTTTGCCCCGGCCCCACCCAGGGTACCAGAGGACCCAGTCAAACCCCCGACCTACAGCATGGAGACACAGAGGTAAGTTACGTCATCATGGTCGTACAGCTGTTGGACACGTCACGTCCGTAGGATATGTCACTTGCATTGAATACGTCACTTCCGCCATAAGAAAAATGAACCAATCAAATCTTTCCACAGGGCGTCGGTGTCTTACTGGGAGAGGAGACCCGTTTTCTGGGATCAGAGGTGAGATGATGTGGTAGTTGTTGGATGGTAGCTGTTGGGATGGTAGTTGTTGGATGGTAACTGTTGGGATGGTAGTTGTTGGATGGTAGTTGTTGGATGGTAGTTGTTGGATGGTAGTTGTTGGATGGTAGTTGTTGGATGGTAGTTGTTGGATGGTAGTTGTTGGATGGTAGTTGTTGGATGGTAGTTGTTGGATGGTAGTTGTTGGATGGTAGTTGTTGGATGGTAGTTGTTGGATGGTAGTTGTTGGATGGTAGTTGTTGGATGGTAGCGGGATGGTAGTTGTTGGGATGGTAGTGGGATGGTAGCTGTTGGCTGGTAGCTGTTGGATGGTAGTTGTTGGATGGTAGTTGTTGGATGGTAGTTGTTGGATGGTAGTTGTTGGATGGTAGTTGTTGGATGGTAGTTGTTGGATGGTAGTTGTTGGATGGTAGTTGTTGGATGGTAGTTGTTGGATGGTAGTTGTTGGATGGTAGTTGTTGGATGGTAGCGGGATGGTAGTTGTTGGGATGGTAGTGGGATGGTAGCTGTTGGATGGTAGCTGTTGGATGGTAGCTGTTGGGATGGTAGCTGTTGGGATGGTAGCTGTTGGGATGGTAGCTGTTGGATAGTAGTTGTTGGGATGGTAGCTGTTGGATGGTAGTTGTTGGATGGTAGTTGTTGGATGGTAGTTGTTGGGATGGTAGTTGTTGGGATGGTAGCTGTTGGATGGTAGTTGTTGGGATGGTAGTTGTTGGGATGGTAGCTGTTGGATGGTAGTTGTTGGATGGTAGTTGTTGGATGGTAGTTGTTGGATGGTAGTTGTTGGATGGTAGTTGTTGGGATGGTAGCTGTTGGGATGGTAGCTGTTGGGATGGTAGCTGTTGTGATGGTAGTTGTTGGATGGTAGCTGTTGGATGGTAGTTGTTGGATGGTAGTTGTTGGATGGTAGTTGTTGGATGGTAGTTGTTGGGATGGTAGCTGTTGGATGGTAGTTGTTGGATGGTAGTTGTTGGATGGTAGTTGTTGGATGGTAGTTGTTGGATGGTAGTTGTTGGGATGGTAGCTGTTGGATGGTAGTTGTTGGATGGTAGTTGTTGGATGGTAGTTGTTGGATGGTAGTTGTTGGATGGTAGTTGTTGGATGGTAGTTGTTGGATGGTAGCTGTTGGATGGTAGTTGTTGGATGGTAGTTGTTGGATGGTAGCTGTTGGATGGTAGTTGTTGGATGGTAGTTGTTGGATGGTAGTTGTTGGGATGGTAGCTGTTGGATGGTAGTTGTTGGATGGTAGTTGTTGGATGGTAGTTGTTGGATGGTAGTTGTTGGATGGTAGTTGTTGGGATGGTAGCTTTGGGAGGGTAGCAGTCAGAGTGATAGCATTTGGGATATCAGTTGGGGTGGTAGCAGTTGGTTGGGTAATAGTAGTTTGGATGATAGGAGTTGGGATAGTAGCATTCGGTATGGGAGCAGTAAGGAATGTAGCTTTTAGCAGTCGTAATGGTAGCAGTCGTGACTGTCGCAATAGAGAGGGTAACACTTTTTATGCAGGTAGCAGAAGGGATAGTAATGAGCTGTTGGGATGGTAGCATTAAAGAATTAGCAGTGTGGAGGTAGAAGAAGAGATGGCAAAAAGGGAAAAAAATCCATTGCTGAATATAATCTGTACTAAATCATTTTATTTTGCGTATTTGTTAACAATTAACATGGATGATCTACCGACGAATTTGTGTTCTAAGGGAAATAACAATGGAAAATACTCTACTCGATATTAGAGTTTTCATGTTTCTCTCCCTTGCAGAAGACCTTCAATACGAGCTAGACGAATGACGTTACGAGAAAACCGGTAATATTTTTTTGTTTCCTTATTTTCCGGATTAAAATTTTCATTTGCATTGTTTCAAGGTCAGTCATCCATCTGAAGGTCTTTCTAAGGTCACACAATACTCAACGGTTGCCATAACCCCAATGTTCTGACTTCAATTGTGTTGTACTTAAACATTTTCCTCTATTACAGAAGCAGCAGGGACTATCACGTGACTGATACGTCGGAGGATAAAGACGATACGAAGAACGATAGCGAAAAGGTAGCGTTCTAAATTAATGTTCTTGTTTTTTTTTTTTTTGGTAAAATGTAGAAACTAGATCTCAAGAAACGTCTCAGTTACATTGTAACATTGTAACATGAAAAAGTAAATTAAAAAAGTGAAGCGCTTATAAATTAATTAAATGCATAACATAAAATGAACAAGAAAAAATCGAAGTAAAAAAAAGAAAGAAAAAATTAAGGAATGTCGCGCACATCTGTATTTCACTGACAAGTGCCAGTTATCTATTAAAGCTGAGTGGACTCAGCTGGGTATTACGGTCCAGAACCTGGTAACCGAACTTGTGACTTGTGACAACATTTATTTGACTACACTATATTTACAAGAAATCAATGTGGAATCATAATGTGCTTAAATCAAAATGTATATTTCTATATGCAGTTCTATTAATTTGTATGTCTTAGTATTTGTATGTGTGCTGGTATTTATATGTAGAATATGTATGAACAGGTGTACCAATTAAAATGTGAACCTAACCTAACACTGTACCTCTCCCACAGTCCCTGTACGTGTCCATGAGACCCACCCTCACACCCAAGTACTCTAACCTAACACTGTACCTCTCCACAGTCTCTGTACGTGTCCATGAGACCCACCCTCACACCCAAGTACTCTAACCTAACACTGTACCTCTCCACAGTCTCTGTACGTGTCCATGAGGCCCACCCTCACACCCAAGTACTCTAACCTAACACTGTACCTCTCCACAGTCCCTGTACGTGTCCATGAGACCCACCCTCACACCCAAGTACTCTAACCTAACACTGTACCTCTCCACAGTCTCTGTACGTGTCCATGAGGCCCACCCTCACACCCAAGTACTCTAACCTAACACTGTACCTCTCCACAGTCTCTGTACGTGTCCATGAGGCCCACCCTCACACCCAAGTACTCTAACCTAACACTGTACCTCTCCACAGTCTCTGTACGTGTCCATGAGACCCACCCTCACACCCAAGTACTCTAACCTAACACTGTACCTCTCCCACAGTCACTGTACGTGTCCATGAGACCCACCCTCACACCCAAGTACTCTAACCTAACACTGTACCTCTCCACAGTCCCTGTACGTGTCCATGAGACCCACCCTCACACCCAAGTACTCACACACCTACAACGACGGCAGACACAAGGACCTGACCCGCACCGGCAGCACGCACGGCAGCACGCACGGCTCCATCGCTGAGAGCGACAACAACGACGCCCCGGACAACGACGAGCCCGGCAACGGGAGCGTCAATGACGTCACGAGCGAGCCGAACAACACGTCATCGGCTACAAAGACGAAGCTGATGCGGCGTGAGACTCACCCCAACTACAGCCACCACATCAAGAAAAAGGTGTCCTATGAGGACATCCCGTTCATCGAGCGCAGCGTCACCTGCAACAACACGCGACCTGCACACCCCCCGCCCGGCGACATGGAATCGTCCATCGGTGCCAGACACTACCGGTCTCTGGACAAGCTCAAGCGGAACACGCCGGACGACGGCAACCACGTGACGTCATCGCCGGAAGTCCGGTGCACGATGGTCGAGACGAAGGAGGCGGAGAAGAAGGAGGTGGAGATCACGTGGCACGACATCGGCAACTCGATGGACAGCGTCCTGTTCTGGATCTTCTTCCTGGTGACCAACACCGTGACGGTCGTCATACTCGTGCTGTTTGTCAGGAACGATGCCTGACTAGACTTGTCCGTGTGATTCCGGTAACATTTTTTCTCTCATGGGATCACACGGACCACCGACCGGAAGTCGAACCTTCCGAAACCGGAAGTCGAAACTTCCAGAATTTAAACTAAAGACATGACATAAATTTCTGTGACTGGTTTTCCACGGTTGGGTAATTACTGTTTGTATATGCATCTGGACTACATTAACCCTGACTTTAACCCACGGGTCATTGCATTAGTCGTTTGGATCAGGTCTGCTGCTAACACATTCACGCACATCCAGCAGTTTGGCGGGCTGATTTAGTTAGTTGTAAAGAAATAATCCTGCTCGCTGTTTCTTGAGGATACATACACATACATAGGTGTCATTTTTCTAGCAAGGTGTTCTGTCCACGTGTGTGTGGAGACCCACACATCTGCTTGTGTGTGTGGACGGCACCCAGTGTGGGATGTGCTAGTGGTTTAGGGATAACTCAACGTATCAGGATAGTCCCATGTGTTGGGATAAGGGATGCACTGATATACATTTGGGATTTAAAAATGGTAACTTACAACCTGTCCGTGATATCATCGTGTGACACACCTGTCATCATTCGGTAGAATTCCAGCACAACATCACTGCTAACCACATCTGCCATCACCAGCAAAAGTAGGCTGTTGTTGGGGAGAGGGGGGGGGGAGCATCGACTCAAGGTCAGTGTTTGACCGCCATAATTTATGCAGCTATGAAGATGAGTGTGACGTAACAATGGGATACTACCATGTGACTTACCGAACGTAATTCAACATTTTTATGTAACGAAAAGCTAATGTGACGTCAACTTATCCTCCAGTTGTGACGTAATAACAGTGCACCGTAACGTGCAGTAGCTGACACGTGACCTAAGTACAAATGAAGTGTCAGCAAAAAGCCGTGTAACCGTCTGAAGTTCTGCACATACTGGGGTTAAATGAATTATAACCTAACCATGTTTGATAACTGACATGCACTATGTAAAACTGTAACATATGAACTGTGTAAAGCTGTAAAGACGAACAGCCCCCTTTACATGCACAAAACATGAACTTTAGAAACTTCCAACATTAAATTCATGAACTAGTTGTCACTTATTAATTTTGATTGATATCATCTATCTAGCAGACATGTAAATATATGTGTATTTTTTCTCAATTTGTTAATTGTTAATTAGTTATCAATTTCATGTAATGTATACATTTGGTTGCTTTGAGAGTTATTTTTGTTTACAA